AGCAAGTTTGCAAGCGGTCTCTCCAGCCTCCACTCCTATCAAGAAAGAAAATTTTTCAGTTAAAAAAAAAATATCTTAAATTATCAAAAAGTAGTAAGATTGTTTTCTTGCTATTTAATGTAAAAAGGAAATATTTTACCTGTATTCATAGGAAGAACTTTGTGGTAGTTGAAAAGTTTAGTAATATACTCTTCATATTCACCAAGCACATTATTATAGAAAGCCCTGGATGTTAAAGTCAGTTTGTCTGCTTGACTTTTCAGAGCATTCACAATCTTTGGATGGCAATGCCCTTGGTTGACAGCACTGTAAGCACTCAGGAAGTCAAAGTATTTTCTGCCTTCTACATCCCATACATAAATACCTAAATATATAAAGAGAGTCATTTTAGAAAATCACTGAGTTACATAAAGTTCAAAGATTAAGACTGTTGGCAAGCCTTCTGAATACACATGAACCTTTACTTAATACAGAATTGTAGTTAAGGCATGTTTTAGCTCAAGCATAGTCTGATTGATTATAAATAACCTGGTTTATAAGGAATTATATTTTATCTGTCCAGCTTGAAATTACACCTTCAACAAGAACACAGTAACATGAAAAAGTTTATAAAGTCTGGAGTGAAACCCTCACTCCTAGAAAACTGGCATTTGGAATTTAAAAGCAGAAGTTATACGTAACATAAAAATCATGATTACTTGACTGTAACTATCAACAGAATGAGAAAATATATTTCCAGATCACAAACCTATCTACTAAGGATCTAGTATCCAAAACACAAGTCAACAACAAACAACCCAATTCAGGGGCGCCTGGGTGGCTCAGTCGGTTAAGCGGCTGCCTTCAGCTCAGATCATGATCCTGGAGTCCCAGGATCAAGCCCGGCATCATCGGGCTCCCTGCTCAGCAGGGAGTCTGCTTCTCCCTCTCCCTCTGCAACCCCACTCGTGTTCCCTCTCTCTCTTGCTCTCTCTCTCAAATAAACAAAATCTTAAAAAAAAAAAATTCAAAAATGGGCAAAGAACATGAATGGACATTTCTCCAAAGAAGATATACAAATGACCAAAAAGCACATGAAAAGATGCTCAATATCTCTGTCACTACAGAAATGCAAATCAAAATCTCAGTGATAGCATTCTACACTCATAAGGATGGTTATAAGAAAGAAAGAGAGGGAGGGAGGGAGGAAGGAAGGAAGAAAACAAGTGTTGGCAACAATACGGAGAAATTGGAACTCATGTATTACTAGAAACTGCAACTCATATATATTGTAAAATGGTGCAGCCGCTGTAGAAAACAGTTGGGCACCTCCTCAGCAAGTCACACATAAAGTTCCCATCTAACCGAGCAATTCCACACCCAGGTATATACCGCAAAAAAGTGGAAGACATGTGTTCAAACAAAAATTTGTACACAAATGCTCATAGCAGTACCATTCACAGTAGTCAAAAGGTGGAAACAACCCAAATGTCCACCAACTAATGAATGGATAAACAAAATGTGGTCCATCCATATAATGAAATATCATTCAACCATAAAAAGCAATGGAGTACTAACACATGCTACATGGGTGAGCCTTGAAAACATTACACTAAGTCAGAGAAGCCAGACACAAAAGACCATGTGTTGCAGCCATTCCATTTATATGAAATATCCAGAACAGGCAAATCCACAGAGACAGAATGCAGGTTAGTGGCTGCTGGGTTTTAGGGAGAGGGGAGACTGTAGAGTGACTGTTTAATGGGTATAGGGGGGGCCTTTGGGGGTAATAAAGTCCCAGGACTAGCTAGAGGTGATAGCTCTACAATACTGTAGATGTACTTAGTGGCACTGAACTCAACGATAAAAATGGTAAATTTTAAGTTATGTATGCTTAAAAACAATTTTTTTTAATTGACTATAGATTTTAAAATGTACTGGGTAGCTTACCAGCTAACTTTTACCATGTACTTTTAACATACTGTGTTAGGTACTTCTGTATCTTATCTCATCAAAAAAACCCTATTTAAAAAACAAAACAAAACAAAACACCCCTGAAAGTATTACCATCCTACAGTACAAAGATATGGAAAGAGATGCTTGGACTTAGAATTAGCCCAAGCTGGCACATACAGAACCAGGACTTGACCCCAGGCACTCAGATTCCAGAACCCACACTCTGCTAGTACAGGAATATTTTTACAAACAGTTTCCAAATTCATAACATAGAAGTCTAGATTTTCATTTGATCAAAATCTAGATTACAGTGCTGGTCCTAAATAAAAATACAGCAAAATGATAAAGATGTTTAATACTCTTATACATCATCTTCTGGCCCAAAGCTAAGTAATAAAGTTTGGTTTTATTAGGTTAAGGCTGTTATTTCAAAATGTGCATTAAATCACCACTTGGCAAATATCAGTAATCATTTATTCAGGTAGAGAATAATTAATGGATGTTAAAAGTGTGAGTAAAAGGGCGCCTGGGTGGCTCAGTTGGTTAAGCGACTGCCTTCGGCTCAGGTCATGATCCTGGAGTCCCGGGATCGAGTCCCGCATCGGGCTCCCTGCTCGGCAGGGAGTCTGCTTCTCCCTCTGACCCTCCTCCCTCTCATGCTCTCTGTCTCTCATTCTCTCTCTCGCAAATAAATAAAATCTTAAAAAAAAAAAAAAAGTGTGAGTAAAAGTTTGCAGAGTCTCAAATCATGTCCCCACAAGATATTCAAAAGGACAAAATAGTATCTTTGTAGTGAAGAAGGCTGGCAGTCACTACCTTACCAGCCAACTTCCAAACTGAGGTTCATTCTACAAAATTATTGACCTGTACTATTTAAAAACATCAAGATCAAGAAGACAAAGAAAGACTGAGGAACTGCTCTGGATTAAAGAAAACTAAACAGACCTGAAAACTGAATGTAACCCGTGATCTGAGATTTTCCTTTTACGATAGGACAACAAATGAAATCTGGATCAGGTCTGTAGATTAGATAATGGTGCCTTACCAACGTTAATTTCCCTATCTTGACAATTACACTACTGTTTGAGAAAAGTCCTGTATTTCAGGAAAGAAACACTAAGTATTTAGGTGTAAAGAGACATCACATGTCTGCAACTTCCTCTCAACAGTTCAGGAAAATATGTAGCCCGTGTGTGCGTGTGCACGTGTGTGCATGTGTGTGTGTAGAGAAAATGATAAAGTAAATGTGGTAAAATGGTAGCACTCAAGAAATCTGCATGAAGGCGCCTGGGTGGCTCAGTCATTAAGCGTCTGCCTTTGGCTCAGGTCATGATCCCAGGGTCCTGGGATCGAGACCCACGTTAGGCTCTCTGCTCAGCAAGGAGCCCGCTTCTCCCTCTCCCTCTGCTGGTGCTCTCTCTCTGTGTCAAATAAATAAATAAAATCTTTAAAAAAAAAGAAAGAAAGAAATCTGAGTGGAAAGAAAGAAAGGAAGGAAGGAAGAAAGAAAGAAATCTGGGTGAAGAGTAATAGAAAATTCTTTGGGTGCCTGGTGGCTCAGTCAGTTGAGCATCTGCCTTCAGCTCAGGTCATCATCCCGGGGTCCTGGGATTGAGGGGTCCTGGGATTGAATCCTGAGTTGGGTTCCCTGCTCAGCAGAGAATCTGCTTCTCCCTCTCCCACTGCCCCTCCCCCGGCTTGTGCTCTCTCTGGCTTTCTCTCTCTCTCTCAAATAAATAAATAAATAAATCTTTAAAAAATAAAAAGAAAATTCTTTGTACTGGTATTGTAACTTTTCTTTAAGCCTAAAATTATGCCAAAATAAAAGTTAAAGGAAAGAAATGACAGCATTATTATAGTACTTTCCCTTTTTTTTTAAAGATTTTATTCATTTATTTGAGAGAGAGAGATACAGCGAGAGAGGGAACACAAGCAGGCGGAGTGGAGAAAGAGAAGCAGGCTTCCCGTGGAGCAGGGAGCCTGATGCGGGGCTCGATCCCAGGACCCTGGGATCATGACCTGAGCCGAAGGCAGATGCTTAACGACTGAGCCACCCAGGTGCCCCCTTATGTATCTTACATTCCCTCCTGGCAAGGTCCATAATGGTAAAGACAATGAGTTCATCTTTGTATTCCCCCCCATACCTAAGACTGCAAGCACTAGATACTCAATAAATGTTGAATTAACTACATCTGCAATATAGAAATTAAATGCATCTGGGCGCCTGGGTGGCTCAGTTGGTTAAGCGACTGCCTTTGGCTCAGGTCATGATCCTGGAGTCCCTGGATCGAGTCCCACATCGGGCTCCCTGCTCGGCAGGGAGTCT